GATGATGATGATGATGATGATGATGATGATGATGATGATGATGATGACAAGGACAATGAAGCTGCAAGCCTAAGTGACTGTTAGGATGGTGACCCTGCCACCCCCCTGGTACATGCCCTCATCTCATACCCGGACTATTACAATAGCCTGCTGGTTAGTCTACCTGCCACAAGCATCTCACCACTCTAGTCCACCATCCATTCCACCCCCAAAGTGATTTTCCTAAAATGTACAATCCAAACATGTCAACCTCCACCCCCCACCCCCACTCAATAAGTTGTAGTGGTTCCTTATCACCTCCAGGATCAAATACAAAATCCTCTGTTCAAAGCCCTTCATAACCTATCCTCCCTACCTTTCCAGTCTTCTTATATCTTATACTTCCCCCCAGTAACCCCTTCTCTACACACACACACATACCTACACACTCACATACACATACACTGTACCATCCAGTAACACTGTCCTCCTTGATGTTTCACAAACAAAACACTCCATCTCCCAACCTTCACTGACTATCCCTCATACCCCGAGTGCTCACCCATGTCATCTCTGACTCCTGGCTTCCAAGGCTTCCTTCAAATTCCAGTTAAAATCCTACCTTCTATAGGAAGCCTTTCCCAATTCCTCTTAATTCTACTACCTTCCCATTGTTGATTACAGTTAACCCTTCCACCTCATGACTTTTCCCATCGTGGTTTTGATATATCCAGGGTCGGCATAAGAAATTAAATAGGAATTTTGGGGGAGTTTTGCAGAAGCTGAAGATGACACAAAGTCCAGCAGATGACACAGAGCCTATAACCAAACACTTAACCCAAACTTTACAATAAGGTACTATAAATACACCATAAATTTTTTTTTTAAATCATACTTCTTTGGTATGAAGGGAGGGCTAAAAAAAATTTTAAGCAGATTTTCCAGATCGTGGGAGCCCCAAAATGTGGAAGGGATAACTGTATTTCCTTCTATTTATCTGCTATGTAGCTTGTTTGTACCTAGTTGTTGGCATGTTTTCTTCCCCATTAGATTATGAGCTCCTTGAGAACAGTGACTGTCTTTTGCCTTTCTTTGTATCTTCAGCGTTTACATAGTGTCTGGCACATGTAAGTACTTGATAAATGCTTAGTGACTAACTGGTGCCCCCAGTAGCAAATAGTGAAGTTGGGAAGAATAGAAAATTTGAGGGAAAAGATAACAAGATCTGTTTTGGACATGTTTAGTCTATTAGATCTATATATTCACAGTCATAGTTTCTCTCCTGAGCTCCAGTCTCATGTCACCAGTTCCCTATTATACATCTTGTATTATACATGTAGCCTTCTCTTGGTGGAGAATAATCAGTGACTAGTGATTCTGAAAAACTCTCATTTCCAACTTTCTGGGTTCCTTCATATACATCTCTGACTTCGCCATCTCCTTAATTCCAGAGCTCAACACCTGCTTTACAGGGGAAGAAATTTTGTTCAACAGCACCCTTCCTGGAGAAGACAAGGACTACCATGAGGGTCAGCCTGGAGCTGGAAAACAAAAAAAACATTCAGTGAGGAGTCAGGAAATCTGGACTTTGCCAAACTTCCAGGACAATTGCTTCGAGTTGCTTGGACAGTATAAATCTGAGGTAAATTCAAAATATCTGTTCAGTAGTCCAACAAAGCATCTAGATGAAATATAATAATGGGATATACAAGCATTTTATTTTTCTTGTATTTGTATGTATATGCCTGTGAATTCTTTGTGTTTTCTATGGTGAAAAACCTGATACCCACATTGTACATTGACTACATTTGTGAGAGGAAACCCTGTACTTTTGAGATTGTAGACATGAGCTATGCCTAAACTTTATTTTAGAGATTTTTTTCCAGAGTATTCCGGGTGGGAACATTAATAAACCAAACAGAAAACTTGGCCCTTTTGGGGTCAGGCCTCCAGGATGAATCTGGAGTCCATTCATAGATGTGAAGTCAAGAAAACTTGCTTGGAATCTGGGTTCGAAACCTACTGGTGAGGTGACTTTGGACAAATTGTTTAACCTTGCCAGTGATCAGTTTCCCTATCTGTGTAACCAACAGGTGTGGTTGTTGGGGACACTTGACTGGGTCCTCCTCATTCTCCCTCTCAACCATCAAGGAGAGAGGGATAGAATTCTTGGAAACCACACTTCCTCCTACTATGACCAAGAGGAAAAAGACCTTCCCTCCTAGACATTGTCCTTTCCTTTTTCTCCTCCTTCCCTATGTCCTCTTCCTGAAGCCTAGGGTGGTACACAATTGTATAGCCCCAGGCCTGGCATCAGCAATTATAATGGAAATATACTCATTCCTTCAAAGGGAAAGAAGTACCAACAGTTAAATTCTCATTTATCATTTAAAAACTATGTGATTTTTAGCATCTTCAGCCTCCTTTCCCCCCCACCTCTACTTTCTTTATTTAGTAATGGAGCAAGAGTGAGGAGATCTCCAGTGAATTGGAGGGACTTGCAGAGAACATGAACAAGTGTTGGCCAAGCTGCCAGAGAGAACCTTTGAAAGGCATGCCCATGTTGGTTAACACATAGCTACACTGAAGGTGCACTCACCTCACAGGGTTTTTCAGGTAGTATTATACTTTTTAGGGTACTTTTGTCTAAATCTGAAGCTTCAATTAATGTCTGAGACAGAATTTAACAGACAGAAAACTATAACCTGAAACAATTTATGAAAATTGGTTTCGAAGTTTGACTAACCAATAGTTTTATTGGCTTTCTGATATGCAGAGAGGCATCTTGAGTTACTATAGTAGAAAGCTTGAAAACAGAAAACCTGTGTTTGCATCCAATGGCCACCTTGTATGATTCTGGACAAGTTACTTAAACCTCCTTCTGCTTTGGTTTCCTCATATAAAATGTAAAATGGTAATGTTAGTAACTTGCCTACCTTACCTCTCACTGATACATAATTGTGAGTTATTATTGAAACTTTTTAGTTTGCTGTTAGAAATTTCTATAACAGCTGTTTCCTGTGTACAGCTTAATTCTTCCTAAAGAACAGATTTTGAAGTATTTTTGGTATCTATTAATTTGGATAAACTATAGGTTATGTTTCAAAGAAGCTAAAATTATGTATTCAATCAAGTAATTTGTATTGATTGATCCCTATGTACCTTGCCCTGTTGTAGGCATGATGGGGTTCAAAAGAAGTCAGTCAGTCAATAAACAATCTTTGAGCACCTACTATGCCCCAGACACTGTACTAAGTGCTGGGAATACAAATGCCAAAAAGAAATATAATATCCTCTCTCAAGTTTATAATCAAATGGGGGAAGATAGCACATGAAAGAAAGCTAAAGGGGGGAAGGTACTGGTAGGTGTCACAGTGGATAGAGCACCAGGCCTGGAGTCAGGAAGAGTCATCTTCCTGAGTACAAATCTGGCCTCCGACACTTAATAGCTATGTGACCCTGGGCAAATCACTTAATTCTGTTTGCCTCAGTTTCCTCATCTATAAAATGAGCTGGAGAGGGAAAGGGCAAACCACTCCAGTATCTTTATCCAGAAAATCCCAAATGGTGTCACAAAG